GAAAAACATCGCTTTTATTTAAAACAACTCCAGAAACAGCATTTTGTAGGGAAATTTACGTCGCAGATATTTACACGATCAAAAATCAAAATTACCTAACTTGTATTGATCTATACTCAAAATATGGAACCGCGATTGAATTAAACGCAAAGGACTGGATGGAAGTTAAAAGAGGACTTTTTCGAATATTTAATTCAATGGGAAAACCCAGAACCTTAAAAACAGATAGGGATAGTGCTTTTATGAGTATAGCGCTTAAAAACTGGCTGGACACAGAAGACGTAAATATTCAGATAACAACAAGTAAAAATGGAGTATCAGATGTAGAAAGACTACACAAAACAATTAACGAAGAAATACGTGAGACCGAGAATAGCGACAATACGGAAAATAAACTTATGAAAATGGAAGTAATACAGTATAGTTACAATCATAAAATAAAACCCAATGCAACAGGTAGAACACCAGCTGATGTTTGTTTTATGCAGGTACCCCTGCATATAATAACCAAATTATAAAATAAGCTAAAATGGAACAACTTACGGAAAACGACAACATTTTGAGGTAAATACCAAATTTAGAAAGGCTCCCATAATTCACGGGAAATTACACAATCCTTATAAAACGACAGGAAATATAGAACAAATAGATAATAATCATTTTGAGGAAACTAACAGAGGTCGAAAAATAAAACATTACAAAACAAACTTCCAGAGGCAAAAGAAAGATAATAGAAGTAAATATTTGCAGGAGGGCCCAGATCAACCACCAGCGCTTTGACTTTCATCTTTCTGACATCAACGTTAATAATAATGATGCCAATGGGTAAAAACCAATTTATAGAAATTAACCCTATAAAATCATACAATGGCTATTTGTTATTTATGACCGACACAATAAACATCCCAGATAGTTTTGAATACCATTACCTCACAATTAATATTACAAAAACGGACGAATCTTACAAAAACTTGATATGACAAGCGTTTGGCTTTAAGGAAATAATGCAGATTAAATATTTACCGGAAAAACTACAAGAGAAATGAATGACTTAAAAATTGTTAGGAGAAACAAAAGATGATTAGCTAATTTTGTAGGAACAGCTTAGAAATATCTTTTTGGAACATTAGATAATAATGATAAAGAAGAATTAGAAGAAAAAATCAATGTAATTGCTCAAAACAGTGTACAGGTAAACGAACTAAATAATATAATCGATACAGTTAACAAAGGCAACGATATAATAACCAAGCATCTCGAATACAACGAAAACGAAACGAAAAAAAATTCTTGAATTATTGGATTTCAATTTAGAACATTTCGCAGAATACAATGAAGACCTGTAAATGGGAATCAGTTAGCAAGATTAGGAATTTTCAATCCAAATTTATTAAAACACGACTACTTGACAAACATAACTTCTGAGATACTTCTGAACATAAAAACCTCAACTTGGCCTCGGTCAGATTCAAACGAAATTTTAATTATACCCCACATACCCAAAGAAATAAAGAAACTTCCCGTGAACGAAATATTACCTTATCCAGATGAAAATAATAAAATATTACAAGACAACATCCAAAACAAATATTATACAGAAACAGTTTGTATAACAAAGAAACAAAATAAACTGTTACCAACACATGTCTTTTAGGACTTTTTAATAAAACAGATACTAGTTGCAGGTACAAAAAAACGCTTTTAACTACCCAAATTAAATATGTCGAACCAAATATCATAGTTACACGGAATTTGTCAAAAATTGTAGTTAAAGGAAACAATATGATCAAAATACACAATTGCTTAATTACAATTAACGATTTATCCATAAGCAATTATAATTCTGACTACACACAAAGCATATACACAAGAAATAATGTCACCAAATTAGTCCCAATATCATACATACCAGCAAAATAAATATTTTTTGAACAAAAAAAAAGAAAACCAGATTTACAATATAATTGTAATTGTAACACTGGGTCTCTTAATATTAAGTATATCACTGTACCTATTTTATAAGTTTAAAGAAGTACCTAAAAGAATACTTATTAAAAACAATAACACAAAAGGTGACGAACTAGCAAAAGAAACACAAGAGTTACAAAACTCACAAGAGTTACAAGAAATACCAAAACAATACCCCAAAATCACATAAATAACTATATGATTTCTCGATTTCTCAACGGCCACCAGTTCAAAGAACGAAACCATTCACAAACAAACAGAATCGCCAATTTCGGGTTTTATTAAAAACGTTACAGAAGCTTGATATTCCGCAATGCAAACAAACAAAGAAAATTGATTAAGTTTGAACGTCAACAATGACGTAATTCCATAAACGTGAAAATCCAATAAGATCGCAAAATCTAATAAGACCGAATTATGTAAACATAAACAAAGAAGTGGAGATCGCATCATCCACTTGCGATTGCGTCAACTAATGCACTAACAGTAAATTCTAAGACGCAAACCGAGGTTTCATTCTAACCAATTCTGTAACATACAATTAGTCTTTTTCCAACGTTCTAATAAAGAATAATTTTTTATTCGGGCGAAGAACGACTCGTGTAAATATATAAATAAATATGTCATAGAAACGATCGGACAATTAATGGAAAAATATTAGGAAAATATTTATAGCTTCGTTATTTCAGGTCATATACTTTTCTACTCCGGTATATACAATTTTTTTAATATATCAGACTTACGAATTGAATTTGATAAAAAAAAATATATATATCATATAGCTCTCATAGGAAGAATCTTAATTTTAATGTAAAATAATACAAAAAGTCTATCGGAAAGTCTATTTAATTTATTTAACAAATACTTTAAATCTCCCCTCTCTGGTGAAAAAAGGAATTGTGTTACTCAAGAAGTATTCTACAAAAACTTTGTTCTGAAAATCTCCATCCGCACATAAGTTATTTAACTATTAAATGAATCCACTAATTCAACAGATTCTGGTGTCAACGGTATGAAGCAAAGCTTTCTTAAATCATAGCGTCTTTGGTTACATCCAAATATCCAAGTTCTTCTCCTAACAAAAGAAAACGACCATCTAAGGGGACTTCCATCTCGAATAGTTCTTCTTCTGCTGATCAAGTGCGTTTTTTGGCTTATTTTAAACGAATAAATACTAATATTTTTTAAATAGGTATTAAGTCATTTGGAGCATTATAGAAGAACTTGCAGGCATGGTACTGGTACTGGACTTTACGTTCATGATATGATGCAGAGAGCACTGCAATCAGCATATTCTCACAGTAACGAGCGCGCAAAGGTTTACAAAAACTGGTTCTTGAAATAAATATAATATTAAGCTAATATTGTATCCGCAGAAACAATATAGCGATCCTTTTGCTCCGGCGGCTGAAGACGACACAACAGTTGTTGGCCGATGTGGAGGGAGTGGTCGTGGCCGGAAGCAAGTAGTCAATAAAAAGGATTCCAACACCCATAGCTCGTCAAGTAAAAAGAATTCCGAAATTGTTAAAACAATATATTCCTTCGATGAAAATTCTTGCGATGTTTGTAAAATATCTTAATATTGTTTATTTTTAGGAGGATTGGTCCAAACCTAAAATGACGCAAACGGCTAAGAGAAAAAAATATAAATGATTCTGACTGACAATTGCAATCTCAATATCTGATGTGTTGTTGCGCCGAAAAAAATCAATTGAAAACAGAACAGATCTTCTTAAAATAAGAAATAAGAGAAATATGAAATTGAAAAGTAAAGCATGTCATAACATTTTTTGTCATTTGATCTTTTAACGTTATATATTAAAATAACTTCAATTAAAACATTTTAACTTATCTCCCTTTTATTCAGATTCACAGAAAATGCACGATCTTGATGAAGAGTGCCGAATGAGACAATTTTAGAAAGTGTATTTATTTAGAAGATTGTACCCCCGCCTATTTTACAAGTGAACTTTTTCGCGTACTTCTTTTCGGTCAAGGGGCAATTCACGTTTCGAGTGGTTTTCTCCCCTACAGCATCGACGCTTTCCGCCGCACCAGCAGCAAACCGCCGAAGCCCAGCGCAGCAGCTTGCCAACGTTGGTCCTTCGAGCCGGATAAGATAAGTAAAGCTTTTCGTCTTATTAATTGCCGGTCTGCAGTTAGCCACTCGAAAATATAATTCGTTTGACTTTCTGTACGATTTGTCCAAAATCCTAGTCCGATTAAAACCGACAACGGCAATTAATAAATTACTTCGCCATTTTTTTCTTCGATTTTCCTTTTGTTACGTGAGGCCATATTGCCAATTTGTTCCGACTCCTTTTTTTAATTGCATTTGGCCGCTCATCCATACTTATTCCAAGCTTAGAAAAAATATTGTGCAAATATAAGCCAAGCATACAGTGAGAATTATTAAATTTCTAGTGTTCTGCCAATTTAGGCCCCCAAAACTTTTCAAGATTTTCTCACTGTATATCCGCAGCCGCTAAAATACTTGCACATATTTTTTCGTTTTTCCAAATACAGTCCAAATATAATAAATCGAAAACGTCCACCACAACACATATCCAGCCGGCAATAATTATTTAATAAATTTGAAAACTGCGAACATTACATACATACACACATATCATACATACAAATATTTTTTATTTATTTATTTATATTTCTGAATCATCAGGTATTAAATTTATTTCCGTAAAATTATCTTTCCCAAAAAGAAACATTTTTTTAACCTGCTCGTATATATCTCCTGGCTCTGAATTTAACGTGTATCTATTGCACCTGTCCGCCATACATTCTATCTCCTTGCTGCTTACTGAAACTGACCAACTTATTGTGCTTGGTGACTTTAATCTTCCCAATATGGATGGACTCATTGATTGTATTAGAGAAAGTCTTGAATTTGAAACTTACAAACAATTTTGCCTACTGAAAATTGTTCAAGCTCACGGTGTGCCCCTAAAGAGTATTCAAGTATGAAGCTAGTACTGACTAGATTTTTCATAATTTTATTGGGGTTTCTCTCTAGGATCTATTGCCAGAATTGGAAGCCAGAAGTCCCCCCAAGCATTTCTTTATGTTACTGTTAAAAAATGAAGAACCAACGAATGAAATAATTAGATTAATGCTCAGCAGGGAGACCAAGTCGAGGGGAGATCCATTTGTAACCTCAGCTTTAAGGTAAATTCTTAAATCTTTACATGTTTACTATTAAGCTGGAGTTACAAGATTTACCAGCATCGCAGTACGTGTAGTTTATTTGAATTTTACTTATCACCTACGTTCTCAATGCAATTATAATTACAATTTAGATATTTCGATGAATCTCTTTGAAATCATTTGAAATATAGAAAAGTGGAGACTTTTTATTGAAACATTGCACCGCTTCAAGCAATGCACCAAGTGATTCATCGTTTAACCTCATCCTTAGAGACATGGTAGCAGTTTCCTTTCAATTGACTGCAAAAGTCCAATTAAAACAAGAAAGGAAGTTAGCTTCGGAAAGCCGAAGTTTCTATACCCTCGCAGTTATAATTATTAAATTTAAAACAAGCAAGAACGCTATAGTCGAGTACCTCGACTATCAGATACCCGTTACTCAGCTATAGTTACCAAAGGGAAATGGAGATATGCAAGCAGCAAAGCGAGATTAAAATGCGCCAGCTACCGGCGGTAGACAGATTTAAGCATTATGGACGTTAGAGTGGGCGTGGCAAATTTTTTTGGATTAATCTATAGCTATTGACGAGACCAATACATTGCAGCTAAAATTTTTTATCTAGCATGAATATTGTGGGCGTCACAGGCGTGGGCGGTTTGTGGGCGTTAAAGGGGGCAAACTTTGGCAAACTTTTATTGGGTCAATTGATAGGTATTGATGAGAACAATATATTTCAGTTAAAATTTTTATACTAGCATCAAAACTGTAGGAGCCACAGTTTTGGGCGGCTTGTGGGCGTTAGAGTGGGCGTGGCACTCTACTGAAACAAACTTGCGCTGCGCAGGAATCTCAGGAATCTGCATGCCTAATCCCAGTATTGTAGCTCTTATAGTTTTCGAGATCTCAGCGTTCATACGGACAGACGGACGGACAGACAGACGGACACAGGTAGATCGACTCGGCTAGTGGTCGGAAACGCTTCCTTCTGCCTGTTACATACTTTCCGACGAATCTAGTATACCCTTTTACTCTACGAGTAACGGGTATAAATACCAAAAACTATATATTCCCACTAGTATAAGATAATGTCAAAAAACACCGAAGCTATAATTTGTTTCATATTATTTTCCCACCAATTTTCCGATCGTTCCTATGACAGCTATATGATATAGTCGTCCGATTTTGATAAAATTAAATTCAAAACTCAAAATTAAATAATGTTATTTCCAAGCGTAGGAGGTTATAGGTTAAAAAACACCGAAGCTATAATTTGTTTCATATTATTTTCCCACCAATTTTCCTATCGTTCCTATGGCAGCTATATGATATAGTCGTCCGATTTTGATAAAATTAAATTCGAAATTTAGAACTAATTAGAAAATGTTATTTCCAAGCGTAGGAGGATATGTTAAAAACTCCGAAGCTATAATTTATTTCATATTATTTTCCCACCAATTTTCCGATCGTTCTTATGGCAGCTATATGATATAGTCGTCTGATTTTGATCAAATTAAGTTCAAAACTCAGAACTAATTAAAAAATGTTATTTTCAAGCGTAGGAGGTTATATGTTAAAAAACACCGAAGCTATAATTTGTTTCATATTATTTTCCCACCAATTTTACGATCGTTCCCATGGCAGCTATATGATATAGTCGTCCGAATTTGATGAAATTAAATTCGAAATTCAAAACTAATTAAAAAATGTTATTTCCAAGCTTAGGAGGTTATATGTTAAACAACACCAAAGATATATATTTTTTAAATTTATTTTTCCGATTATTCATATGGGTTCTATAAGATATAGTTGTCCGGCTTATGAAAAAAAATGGTTTATAATTATAGCTGTTGTGTTGTTTTACATTTTATCTTTTACTCTGAGAAATATCACATTTTATATATCAAAATTTTAAATTTATTCTGAAAGAAATCGGACAACAATATAATAAAGCTATCATAGAAACGATTGAACAATTAATGGAAAAATAATAGGAAAATATTTATGGCTTCGTTATTTCTGATCATATACTTCTCTACTCGGGTAGAACTACGAATTGAAATTGATAAAAAAAAATATATATATATATATATCATATAGCTCTGATAGGAAGAATCTGAATATTTATTTCAAAATAATACTAAAAGTCTATCGGAAAGTCTATTTCATTTACTTAAACAAATACTTTAAGCGTGGATCTACGGGGAGATTTGCAGGTAGTATACAAGTCTGAACGAGCCGGAACAATATCTTATAGCCCCCAAAAAAAGGATCGGAAAAAAAAAATTGGTTTATATTTATAGCTGTTGTGTTTCCTAACATTTAATCTTTTCCTCTGAGAAATATAACTTTTTATATTTCTGAATTTTGTGTGAGCAACTAAGAGATCCTCAAAAGAACATAAGTGCAAATTTAAGGCACTGAAAAAATATAATAATAAATTAAATTTCAATCGACTACTGAATAAATCCAATTCGGTCAGTGGTAAAGTTGAGTGGAATTTAATTAAACACAATAAAATTGACCAACAACATCCAACTCAATGACAACCACAAATTGGTGTGGCACTCAACCCATTGACGGAGCAAAACTTAAATCAGCTTTTGTCCTAGATCCGGAATATTCCAACGTTTGAAGGAGATCCATATACCCTAGGAACCTTTGTCAGAAGAGTTGACTACCTTTTGCGTCTTTATCCTACAACCAATGAACCACAGACGAGCGTTATATATGGAGCAATTGAACTTCAAATCACCGGTGATGCTCAGAGGATTCTGCAAGTCAGCAACTGGCCAGATCTTAGAGCAGCCCTATTCGACGAGTACAAAACGCAAACCCCTGTCGAAGAACTATTAAGGCGATTATACAATATTAATTTTCAAGGTAACCTAAGAAAATGTTGTAATGAGATCGAGCTTAAACAGTTAGTTATAAGCAACAAATTAGAACTTGAGAGAAATCCAAATGAATTAATATTGTACACAGAAGCAATGTTTAGGACTACAAAAAATCTAATACAACGAAAATTACCTGACAGAATTTTTATGACATTAGCAAGAAGCGATATTTCAACAGTACTTAAACTGAAACAAGCAGCTCAGCAAGAAGGGCTATACGAAGAAAATGAAAATTTAAAACATTATAACATCAATGTTAATAAAATTCAAAAGCAACAACAAAGAAATTATACACGTAACCCCTACCCTTACACTAATTTGTACAACACCCAACAATTTTATCCAGGCCCAGCTCTTTCAATTCAACCGCACCCCAATCAACCCCAAAGAATGGTTCCACAAAATTATAGGTTCCAATCGAATAACAGAAATAATATTTTTGACCAAAATAGGGGAAGTTGCCAAGAGTTTCGAAGAAATTTAATTCAGGGACAGCAAAATAACACAATGAATCAAAGCCAACAGCCAAGTGCACGATCGGGCTCAGTACCCAACCTATCACAAAAGAGAGTCAGAGAAAGTAACAATGGACAATCAAGAATGCAAGTAAACGAAAATTATCAACAAAATAAAGAGTACAAAGAAGATGTTTATCCTCGGAAGAAAAAGTTAAATTATTAAAATAATAAACCAATATAAATGCATTCAATATCGTCATGGTCAAAATTTGACCCTTACAAATGTTGTTAGGCATGAAATAAAAACGCATCATGAAAATCCAAGCATTCAATAAATTAAAACAACTCATCATAAACGATTTCATACTGATTTGTCCAGATGAAAAAAGGTTAAAATTAACTACTGATGCTATCACTTTTGCTTTAGGAGGAGTTCTTTCTCAGGATAATAAACCAATCAGTTACATTACTATGGTACAATTGAAAAATAAATATAAGCTATAGTATGGGCGACAAAAACCTTTAGAGCCTATTTATTCGGAAGAAGATTTGAGATATTACGTGACCATAAGCCGTTAGTCTGGTCAAAGAACCTAATATGAAACTGCAAAGATGGAAGATAAGGTTATGCGAATATGACTTCGAAATAAAATATTTAGAAGAAGGGCAAAATCACGTACCCGATACATTGTCAAGAACCAAAATTAACGAAGTATTCTATGGCAGTAACAAAGCAACAGCACATAGCGCTGAAGACAGGTAGAAATGATTCGAAGCAATACAGAAGGTGAAGAAAGTGAAAATTATTTTAAGAAAGTCAAGATTAAAATAATGTTTCATTAATTAAACATCGAAAAAGCTTAGCTAATATTAATAAAACACTTTTGTACCAAGTCAAGTGCACTTTACATCGAACACGTCTCTGATTTTGAAGTCATTCAACAAGCTTTGAAACAGGTCATGAACTCTACTACAAAAATTGTAAGAACAGTATTTAAATTACAGACAAAAACATTCGCTGAATTTAAAGAAATTATTTTTAGCAACCACGAAAAACAATTGCACCCATGATTTTAAAAAATGATAAGGCTCTTCAAAGAAACCTATCAATTCCCGACTACCAGAATTTAATTCAGAATTTAATTACTGAGTGTAATGTTTGTAACCAAGCAAAAACAGAACATAGAAAAACATCGCTTTTATTTAAAACAACTCCAGAAACAGCATTTTGTAGGGAAATTTACGTCGCAGATATTTACACGATCAAAAATCAAAATTACCTAACTTGTATTGATCTATACTCAAAATATGGAACCGCGATTGAATTAAACGCAAAGGACTGGATGGAAGTTAAAAGAGGACTTTTTCGAATATTTAATTCAATGGGAAAACCCAGAACCTTAAAAACAGATAGGGATAGTGCTTTTATGAGTATAGCGCTTAAAAACTGGCTGGACACAGAAGACGTAAATATTCAGATAACAACAAGTAAAAATGGAGTATCAGATGTAGAAAGACTACACAAAACAATTAACGAAGAAATACGTGAGACCGAGAATAGCGACAATACGGAAAATAAACTTATGAAAATGGAAGTAATACAGTATAGTTACAATCATAAAATAAAACCCAATGCAACAGGTAGAACACCAGCTGATGTTTGTTTTATGCAGGTACCCCTGCATATAATAACCAAATTATAAAATAAGCTAAAATGGAACAACTTACGGAAAACGACAACATTTTGAGGTAAATACCAAATTTAGAAAGGCTCCCATAATTCACGGGAAATTACACAATCCTTATAAAACGACAGGAAATATAGAACAAATAGATAATGATCATTTTGAGGAAACTAACAGAGGTCGAAAAATAAAACATTACAAAACAAACTTCCAGAGGCAAAAGAAAGATAATAGAAGTAAATATTTGCAGGAGGGCCCAGATCAACCACCAGCGCTTTGACTTTCATCTTTCTGACATCAACGTTAATAATAATGATGCCAATGGGTAACAACCAATTTATAGAAATTAACCCTATAAAATCATACAATGGCTATTTGTTATTTATGACCGACACAATAAACATCCCAGATAGTTTTGAATACCATTACCTCACAATTAATATTACAAAAACGGACGAATCTTACAAAAACTTGATATGACAAGCGTTTGGCTTTAAGGAAATAATGCAGATTAAATATTTACCGGAAAAACTACAAGAGAAATGAATGACTTAAAAATTGTTAGGAGAAACAAAAGATGATTAGCTAATTTTGTAGGAACAGCTTAGAAATATCTTTTTGGAACATTAGATAATAATGATAAAGAAGAATTAGAAGAAAAAATCAATGTAATTGCTCAAAACAGTGTACAGGTAAACGAACTAAATAATATAATCGATACAGTTAACAAAGGCAACGATATAATAACCAAGCATCTCGAATACAACGAAAACGAAACGAAAAAAAATTCTTGAATTATTGGATTTCAATTTAGAACATTTCGCAGAATACAATGAAGACCTGTAAATGGGAATCAGTTAGCAAGATTAGGAATTTTCAATCCAAATTTATTAAAACACGACTACTTGACAAACATAACTTCTGAGATACTTCTGAACATAAAAACCTCAACTTGGCCTCGGTCAGATTCAAACGAAATTTTAATTATACCCCACATACCCAAAGAAATAAAGAAACTTCCCGTGAACGAAATATTACCTTATCCAGATGAAAATAATAAAATATTACAAGACAACATCCAAAACAAATATTATACAGAAACAGTTTGTATAACAAAGAAACAAAATAAACTGTTACCAACACATGTCTTTTAGGACTTTTTAATAAAACAGATACTAGTTGCAGGTACAAAAAAACGCTTTTAACTACCCAAATTAAATATGTCGAACCAAATATCATAGTTACACGGAATTTGTCAAAAATTGTAGTTAAAGGAAACAATATGATCAAAATACACAATTGCTTAATTACAATTAACGATTTATCCATAAGCAATTATAATTCTGACTACACACAAAGCATATACACAAGAAATAATGTCACCAAATTAGTCCCAATATCATACATACCAGCAAAATAAATATTTTTTGAACAAAAAAAAAGAAAACCAGATTTACAATATAATTGTAATTGTAACACTGGGTCTCTTAATATTAAGTATATCACTGTACCTATTTTATAAGTTTAAAGAAGTACCTAAAAGAATACTTATTAAAAACAATAACACAAAAGGTGACGAACTAGCAAAAGAAACACAAGAGTTACAAAACTCACAAGAGTTACAAGAAATACCAAAACAATACCCCAAAATCACATAAATAACTATATGATTTCTCGATTTCTCAACGGCCACCAGTTCAAAGAACGAAACCATTCACAAACAAACAGAATCGCCAATTTCGGGTTTTATTAAAAACGTTACAGAAGCTTGATATTCCGCAATGCAAACAAACAAAGAAAATTGATTAAGTTTGAACGTCAACAATGACGTAATTCCATAAACGTGAAAATCCAATAAGATCGCAAAATCTAATAAGACCGAATTATGTAAACATAAACAAAGAAGTGGAGATCGCATCATCCACTTGCGATTGCGTCAACTAATGCACTAACAGTAAATTCTAAGACGCAAACCGAGGTTTCATTCTAACCAATTCTGTAACATACAATTAGTCTTTTTCCAACGTTCTAATAAAGAATAATTTTTTATTCGGGCGAAGAACGACTCGTGTAAATATATAAATAAATATGTCATAGAAACGATCGGACAATTAATGGAAAAATATTAGGAAAATATTTATAGCTTCGTTATTTCAGGTCATATACTTTTCTACTCCGGTATATACAATTTTTTTAATATATCATACTTACGAATTGAATTTGATAAAAAAAAATATATATATCATATAGCTCTCATAGGAAGAATCTTAATTTTAATGTAAAATAATACAAAAAGTCTATCGGAAAGTCTATTTAATTTATTTAACAAATACTTTAAATCTCCCCTCTCTGGTGAAAAAAGGAATTGTGTTACTCAAGAAGTATTCTACAAAAACTTTGTTCTGAAAATCTCCATCCGCACATAAGTTATTTAACTATTAAATGAATCCACTAAATCAACAGATTCTGGTGTCAACGGTATGAAGCAAAGCTTTCTTAAATCATAGCGTCTTTGGTTACATCCAAATATCCAAGTTCTTCTCCTAACAAAAGAAAACGACCATCTAAGGGGACTTCCATCTCGAATAGTTCTTCTTCTGCTGATCAAGTGCGTTTTTTGGCTTATTTTAAACGAATAAATACTAATATTTTTTAAATAGGTATTAAGTCATTTGGAGCATTATAGAAGAACTTGCAGGCATGGTACTGGTACTGGACTTTACGTTCATGATATGATGCAGAGAGCACTGCAATCAGCATATTCTCACAGTAACGAGCGCGCAAAGGTTTACAAAAACTGGTTCTTGAAATAAATATAATATTAAGCTAATAATATATCCGCAGAAACAATATAGCGATCCTTTTGCTCCGGCGGCTGAAGACGACACAACAGTTGTTGGCCGATGTGGAGGGAGTGGTCGTGGCCGGAAGCAAGTAGTCAATAAAAAGGATTCCAACACCCATAGCTCGTCAAGTAAAAAGAATTCCGAAATTGTTAAAACAATATATTCCTTCGATGAAAATTCTTGCGATGTTGGTAAAATATCTTAATATTGTTTATTTTTAGGAGGATTGGTCCAAACCTAAAATGACGCAAACGGCTAAGAGAAAAAAATATAAATGATTCTGACTGACAATTGCAATCTCAATATCTGATGTGTTGTTGCGCCGAAAAAAATCAATTGAAAACAGAACAGATCTTCTTAAAATAAGAAATAAGAGAAATATGAAATTGAAAAGTAAAGCATGTCATAACATTTTTTGTCATTTGATCTTTTAACGTTATATATTAAAATAACTTCAATTAAAACATTTTAACTTATCTCCCTTTTATTCAGATTCACAGAAAATGCACGATCTTGATGAAGAGTGCCGAATGAGACAATTTTAGAAAGTGTATTTATTTAGAAGATTGTACCCCCGCCTATTTTACAAGTGAACTTTTTCGCGTACTTCTTTTCGGTCAAGGGGCAATTCACGTTTCGAGTGGTTTTCTCCCCTACAGCATCGACGCTTTCCGCCGCACCAGCAGCAAACCGCCGAAGCCCAGCGCAGCAGCTTGCCAACGCCGCCAGTTTCCCGCCGTCGCCTCCCACGCCATTCTACCAGCGCCGAAGTACCCCGCTACCCCCCGGCGTACATGTTGGTCCTTCGAGCCGGATAAGATAAGTAAAGCTTTTCGTCTTATTAATTGCCGGTCTGCAGTTAGCCACTCGAAAATATAATTCGTTTGACTTTCTGTACGATTTGTCCAAAATCCTAGTCCGATTAAAACCGACAACGGCAATTAATAAATTACTTCGCCATTTTTTTCTTCGATTTTCCTTTTGTTACGTGAGGCCATATTGCCAATTTGTTCCGACTCCTTTTTTTAATTGCATTTAGCCGCTCATCCATACTTATTCCAAGCTTAGAAAAAATATTGTGCAAATATAAGCCAAGCATACAGTGAGAATTATTAAATTTCTAGTGTTCTGCCAATTTAGGCCCCCAAAACTTTTCAAGATTTTCTCACTGTATATCCGCAGCCGCTAAAATACTTGCACATATTTTTTCGTTTTTCCAAATACAGTCCACATATAATAAATCGAAAACGTCCACCACAACACATATCCAGCCGGCAATAATTATTTAATAAATTTGAAAACTGCGAACATTACATACATACACACATATCATACATACAAATATTTTTTATTTATTTATTTATATTTCTGAATCATCAGGTATTAAATTTATTTCCGTAAAATTATCTTTCCCAAAAAGAAACATTTTTTTAACCTGCTCGTATATATCTCCTGGCTCTGAATTTAACGTGTATCTATTGCACCTGTCCGCCATACATTCTATCTCCTTGCTGCTTACTGAAACTGACCAACTTATTGTGCTTGGTGACTTTAATCTTCCCAATATCTCTTGGTTGGAGATTAAGGACTCATTGGCAATGATTCCTAGGATGCAAAATGATTTTATTGATGGTCTTGTTGAACTATCTTTGCAGCAAGTTAACAGGATTCCCAATCATATTAGTCGCCTTCTTGACTTTATCTTTGTTTTTGATAGTAGCGATGCTGAAGTCAGTCGTATTTCGCCACTATCTTTACCTGAAGATTGTTATCATCCTACCCTTCAGCTCTGTATTAATGGATTTTTTAATAATCCTAGGACTGCAATAAATGTACAGCCTAGTTTGTGTTTTAAGAGGACTGATTACGGCAGACTAGTGAAATCTTTTTCGACAGTAAGCTGGTCCTTTCTAGTTGACCTTCCTGTTGATGATGCAGTTAGGTACTTTTATAAGATCCTTTACCATTTATTTGATGAACATGTCCCTCTTTCCTCCATGAAGAATTCTTACAGCTCTCCATGGTTTACCTGTCAACTATCTTATCTATAGAAAAAAAAACCAGACTATTTAAACGGTTCAAAATATCCGGCTTACAGACAGACTTCACGAAATATAGTTCAGCTAAGGTGGAATTTGTCCAGTACAATTCTGATTGTTACAAAAATTACCTATCTCGTTCCGTCAATTCTAAACGGAAATCTAACTGCTTCCCTCCTTCTCTTTTACATATTCTAATACAGTCCACTCTAAGTACTCTTTCTTATACAGTCCACTCCAACTAATTCTCTCGACCTACAAATACGGCTAACAAAGTTACAATATGCACAAATTTACTCCAGCAAATCGATTGCAAGTTAGTTGTGTAGGTGACAAACAAATGCATCGACAAACCAGCATAATTGAGTTTCAGCTCCTACATTTATTAGCCTAGTGTCTAAATTACCGATCTTATTATTCCCAAAGTTTACATTTTCAACTAGGTTGAGACCGCCGTTTGAATGCAAATTAGTTATTTGTATTAAAACCATTATCTTTATTATTATATTGGATAACAGTAAACGACGCGGGTGCTTTGTGCATTGTTGTTGTTTCTTATTTACATTGTTGTTTTGGCGCTCTCTCGCACCGTTCGCTCTGCTACATTCTCCCAACTTCAGTCACCGGCTCTCATTTTCGAGTTAACGGGTCTTTGCTGAATTGGTCTTATAGTTTTTTTTTTTTTTTATCTCTCCTCTGCGTTTTGCTAAGTTACACAGCTGTTTGTTGGCACTCATCTGAAGCTTCCTACTTTTTTCTAATTTTTCTACATTCTACATTTAACATACTTCAAGGTGTAAGCAATGTCTGCCTGCTGTGTTGTTGGTTGCCAATTTGTTGGCAAAATCACTTCTCGGCAGCCAACTGTTAGTTGCTGGTTATGTGAGAACATTGCGCACGCTAAATGTGCAGACTTTGGGCATAGTGCTGCCCAAATTGCTGATCGCACTAGATCTAATGGTAACCTGGACTGGACGTGCCCTACATGCCTACATATCAAAATTGACATTGAGGCAAACGGAGCTGGAGTTCCAGGCATTCCGTGCTGGATTTACGGACTTATTAAGTCGATTTAGTGTCTGCGACTCCAACTTTAAGGGTCGGATTCTTCTAAGTCAATCTTCATTAAATATAAATCGTAGTCCTACACTGCCTAATGTCTCTTTACATGTTCCTGATCTTTCGACCAACCTCTCTCTGCCCAGCCCCACTGCAGGCTATGTGTCGTGTGATGAGGATGATCCCAATGGGATCGAGTCATCAAGGAATGACGCCACGGGGACTGTACTTTCGCCTGAGTCATCAAGCCCTACTAACCGTTCACCGACTGTTGCCACTTCGGGGGCTCTGCCGCACCTTGTTCTACCTCTAGCTAATACCCTTGCACCTCCTCCTGTCCCACTTACTAGCATGATCCCTAGGAAGAACACCCATAGCCCTACTCTCTCTTTTCCGGTACCACTCACTGGCATGGTACCTAGGAAATCTATCTAATGCAGCACTAACAGTAAATGATGTGATGCATCTTATTGTCACAAGTCTCTCCCCTCCCAGTCAAAATGGTATTGACATCACCAAATTTAATTTTAAACAGATAAGATATTACTCTTCATTTAAAATACTTGTTTCGGATGGGCTGTTTTCTAAACTTCTTTGCCCCAATTGTTGGCCTGCTGATATAATTGTCCACGAGTATATAAAAAAAGCAGCTCCCTTTCCACAACTTCTTTGTCGGCGCCCAGCTCTGATTTAAATTCAAAAAATTAAATTTCCTAGTTCACTATCAAAATGTTCGGGGGCTTCTTAGTAAACTCTCTACGCTTTATATCAAAAGTTCTATTTTTGAGGCCAATGTTATTGTACTCACTGAGACCTGGCTTAACCCATCCGTACACGATAGTGAGATTTTGTCTAATAACTTTTTTGTTTATCGGAAGGATCGTCAGACTCGTCGTGTTGGAGGCGTTCTTATTGGAGTCAAATCCAATTTAACTTCTGAGTTTGTTGATGTTTCTGAATCATCAGGTATTGAATTTATTTCAGTAAAATTATCTTTCCCAAAAGGTAACATTTTTTTAACCTGCTCGTATATATCCCCTGGCTCTGAATTTAATGTGTATCTATAGCACCTGTTCGCCATACATTCAATCTAATTGTTGCTTGCTGAAACTGACCAACTTATTGTGCTTGGTGACTTTAATCTTCCTAATATCTCTTGGTTGGAGGGTAAGGACTCATTGACAATGATTCCTAGGACGCAAAATGATTTTATTGATGGTCTTGTTCAACTATCATTGGTCGCCTTCTTGACTCAATCTTTGTTTTTGATAGTAGCGATGCTGAAGCTAGTCGTATTTCGCCACTATCTTTACCTGAGGATTGTTATCATCCTACCCTTCAGATCTATATTAATGTATTTTTTAATAATCCTAGGACTGCAATAAATGTACAGCTGCAGTTGTGTTTTAAGAGGACTGATTACGGCAGACTAGTGGAATCTTTATCGACAGTAAGCTGGTCCTTTCTAGTTGACATTCCTGTTGATGATGCAGATAGGTACTTTTATGAGGTCCTTTACCGTCTATTTGATGAACATTTCGCTCTTTCCTCCATGAAGAATTCTTACAGCTCTCCACGGTTTACCCGTCAACTATCTTATCTAAAAAATAAAAAACCAGACTATTTAAACGGTTCAAAATATCCGGCTTACAGACAGACTTCACCAAATATAGTTCAGCTAAGGTGGAATTTGTCCAGTACAATTCTGACTGTTACAAAAATTACCTATCTCGTTCCGTCAATTCTAAACGGAAATCTAACTGCTTCCCTCCTTCTCTTTTTCTCAATAATAATGTAGCATCTGATGATAATGATATTTCCAACTAATTCGCAGACTTTTTTCAATCGACATATACGAAATGCAATAGTGTCATTAATAAAGATTATCCATAGCCACTATCTCATTTGAACTCTATCTTTAAGCCAGTGATTAATGTTTCCGATGTTCTTCAGAGTCTTGATACTCTCAAGCTCTCATTTTTACCGGGTCCTGACAGAATACCAAGTTGTATACTTAGGAATTGTTCATCTTATCTTGCTCTTCCCTTATCTGTCCCTAAGTCAATTTAGATTTCTATCCATATGGAAGGAATCCTTTATTATCCCATTGCTTAAAAAAAGGAACAAGTCCGATATCTCAAACTACCGTGGTATTGCTAAACTCAGTTCTATTCCTAAACTTTTTGAAAAAATTATTACCTGTCAGTTCCAGCATCATTGCAGGTCTATTATTTCACCTTGTCAGCATGGCTTCACTAGATGTCGCTCTACTTCTACAAACCTACTTGAATTTACGTCTTTAATTACTAGAGGTTTTCTGACACATCATCAAACTGATGTGATTTATACCGACTTTTCTAAAGCTTTTGATTCAGTGAACCACAGGATTCTTATTTATAAATTGTCCCTTTTAGGTTTTCCACCCAACCTACTAGAGTGGATACTTTCCTACCTTTCTAATAGAACTCAAATGGTCTGTTTTAATAATAAAATTTCCAAAATAATTAATGTTACTTCTGGAGTGCCACCTGGGACCTTTACTTTTTGGCTTAATGATTAATGATCTACCTTATGTCATAAAATCGTCAACTGTTTTAATGTATGCAGATGATGTCAAGCTATGATTGTCCATGTGTTTACCTAATTCATATAATGACCTTCAATTAGATCTTGATTGTTTGTATACGTCGTGCATGATTAACATGTTGAATTTGAACTATTCTAAATGTAACTTTATAACCTTTTATCGTAGTAATCCATCTCTGTACTCTTATTCTATCGGAAATAACGCCCTCGAACGTATTTTTTCTGTTCAGGATCTTGGCTTTCTATTTGATCATAAACTTAGTTTTAAAGACCATATATCTACTATAACTGACAAAGCCAGAAGTCTCCTGGCGTTTATGAAGCGCTGGTCAAGGGAGTTTGATGATCCATACACAACAAAGCTTTTGTATGTTTCTCTTGTTCGTCCGTCAATGGAATATTGCTCGTGTATATGGTCACCACAAATTAGCTGTTACCAAAATATGTTAGAGTCCGTTCATAAACAATTCCTTTTATTTGCTTTGAGAGGTTTAAGCTGGGACACAGGAAGTCGATTGCCCTCTTATCATGCGAGGTTGCGCCTGCTGGACTTACCAACCCTGAACCATCGTAGAAAGTGTCATGGAGTTATGTTTTTGCATAAATTAATTAATGGTGATGTCGACTCTCCCTTCCTTCTTAGTTCCCTCAACTGGAATGTACCCTGTAGAACAGTTCGTCGTTTTCGTCCGTTGTCCCTGCCAATTTGTAGATCCAATTATGCCATTCATGATACTTTTCGGGTTCTCTGTGATGACTATAATGCACTGTGTCACGTCTTACTGTTTCATAGCCCTAATGCAACTAATTATGATAAACTTATGTATTTTCTATCATCCAATAATTTATAAATTTCTATGTTACTAGCCATTCTATGTGAGCATGTATTTTAAACTGTCTATTGTTATGTCGTCTTTTTCCATGTCCGCGATTTCGCTTACTTGCCCAAATCGGTTTAGGGCTCCGCGCGTAACAAGCATTGCTTGGTGTCGTAAGGGCCACTTGTTTGTACTGACCATAGTGCATCAACGTCCAAGAATAATAATAAAAGATCACTCGAAGTTTTCGGCCTAGCACTGGGTGGTGGGGAAGAAAGAAGTGATTCCCAGTAGCGATTTCCTCTGGCGGCACCTCACGCATGTGCCCTAGATTGATATACTCCCGCATAAAGTATACGTACTGTGTCCGCAGCTGCCGCCGATTTGAAACGTTTAAGAGCTCCCTGTAGAGTTTCTCCGAATTCGGGACTTTCTGTGTTGAATGGAAGTTCAACGATATACTTCCCGTTTTCATCGCGACTGTGGGTGGCGAAAAAGTGCTTCTCGACCTGGTCGTCTTCCGGTTACAATTTCGTGTTGCGTTGAACGTTCTCCAGTTCCCAAAACTTCTGAAGCATGTTGTCGATATCCATTGTTGTGGTTAGTGCAATAGCGTTGCTTGCGTTCGATGTGTTGAGTGAAGTGATTACCCATCCGAATACCGACGAAATAGCGATAAGATTACCCTTGTTGTCGTACATCATAGACAACCAAACGATCATCGGATATGCGAGACTTGATTTGCAGCGTGCTGCATCCCCTTGTCGTGTCTGCTTTTACGGAAGAGATTCCCGTAACCAAAATGCGTGATGCCGACCGTATCAGTCCGAGAGCTTGGATGTGTTTAATAGAAGACGGCATGTTACGTGGTCACCTTTTGCGTTTTTACCATACACCATAGCAGTTGGTAATATGCTTCGTTTGATTTCCGTTAGATGAGTAGATTTTGCAGTGCCTTGTGCACATACAACCTTTTGGGTGCCCGCTCCTTGGGCCAAATGACTGAGTGTCACTGAGTTTGTGTTAGACGCGCTTAAGTTTTGCTCGTCCCCCTCCGCTATCTGGGCAAGATTCCCACTATCCTGTGGATTCGGTTGGACATGACGAAGGGAGTGATGATTTCCTTTTCATTGCCTGCACTTGTATGTTGACTTGCACCTGTTGACCCCATGACCAGATCGCAAGCAGTTGTAGCATTGTGATTTCTCCTTCACAAATGATCGCCTCTGCAGTCCAGACATATACAGAAACTGCTGACAGCCATATAGAGTGTGCTCCGTAGAACTACATTTGGTGCAGCCACTACTTTTGACCGCAACCATCGATTGTGTGATCCTTTTTGGTTTTTCAGGATGTGTTGTTGTCTTGCTTCCAGTCGCAAGCTCCCTCTTGCTCAGCTCCAGTTCCTCGCAGCGAGAATCGAGAAACTTGAAGAATTCCTCTAGAGTGGGTGAATCTGTCTCCATGCTGCGCTCAATCCACCTGCGCCGTGTGTCAGCGTCAAGTTTCTCTAGGGCTAGATAAATGATCCAACAATCGCGCCCCGTCTGATTCACCGCTTCCAATCCACGAAGAATTTCGTTTGCTCCGTCCGAAACCTTCCGTAAGACTGTTGCATCGATCTTTGTAGTTGCTGGCAAGCTCATAAACTGTTCCAAAATCGAGTTTACAATGTGCCGTGGACGATTGTATTTTTCCTTAAGACGTTCCCATGCAGTGTTGTAAGCCGTGTCCGTAATTACCAAGTGTCGAACCAAGTTGGCAGTCTCATCAACGAGTAGTGTTTTTAAGTGATGGAACTTCTGGGAGTGGTTAAATGCTGTTTGTTACGAATTGTGCTTTCATATATGTCTTGAAAGGATGGCCACTCTGTGTAGTTGCCCGAGAACCGTTTGATTTGAATTTTAGGCAATTCGCTCAGATTTGAATTCGCCGTGAGTACCGAGTTCCGAGAACTCGCTAATGTGACGTCACCACCAACATGATCAGGCGTGTTTGGTGTGCTCTGACTTACAGCAAGTCGCTCAAATAGTTGTTAGTTTTGTTGCAGCAAGTTCAAGATTGCATCGTTGCTTGAGTGTAGCCTGTTGCTGCCACTCGCACCGCTCGTAGATGTCCAGGGTTGAAGATCATTACTCCTTTCCTTGAGAATAGCGCTTGCCCTTAGGTATTTTGCTTCGTGGACCGCATTGTCGATCTCCGGATCGACATAACCTTCCACTTCCTCGTGAAGCGCAATGCAATCGCTGAACTGGTTGAACTCCTTCCAAACTTCATTTAGAAGCTCTATCCGTGTGACGATCTCTGTGTGTGTAGCAATCTCCGTTTGTTCAGCCCATGCCAAGACACGTGTGATGTTGGACTTGAGTCTGGCACGGCTTTTCACTTATGATTTTAATTGTTCCATTGCAAACAATTACTCTGAGAATCAAAGCACTTCAAAACTGTCCAAGAATCCGGAACGATGGACCAGCAATATGGTTAGAAATATAAACGACTTGGATGTGTGGACTGTATGTAATTTTATTCTTGCCAGTTGCGAAGCCTATTTGATACTGATATGAATTTCACAAAAAGACGCCGTCGTAGCAGCGTTGCCGGACAGGAAAAAAGTATATATATATATGTATGTTGGTTTTGTGTTACATAAGATAGAGATGGCATTATGCGCCTAATGATGGGAAGTTATTAAAGACTGCAACCGTTCAGGAACAAAATTGCTCCAATTGATTTGTTTTCCGTTTGGCAACAAGCCCAGCTGCTTGACAGTAAGACCTTGCCACATGCATTGCGGTTTAACTTTGAAAACTTCGGTCACACTACAAAGAATAAGATTTTTCGACTAGTGAAACTCTTAGCCGACCTGAGTACTACGCTTAAGCGGAAACCGCCTCTTTGTGAATAGGTATAAGGAAATACAAGATAAAATACCAGATTTGGTTGTGTGGAAAAAATGGAAGGAATAACCCAAAAACCACGCCAAATACGCCTGCTAGAGGTCAGTGTAGATGATAAGAGACGCCAAATCAAAGCTTCGGAAGATCGCCCAATGAAGAAGCCCATTGGAAAGGAGAAAACCGAGAGGGATTTCGATTCCTACATGGACGTTTACTGGCAAAGAAAGTAGATTTTGGTCAACAGAATTATGATACGTTGTCCTAACAATAGTATACTTTCTGCAGAACCACCAGATATACGATCTCCGACGAGCCCTCCATTGGGAAACTTCTAAACTCCACCCCCACCAGCTACTCGGCAGCTAAAGCGAGGCTGGAGGACGTGCTGGTTTCTAAAAAAAAAGAGGAAAGATGGCCACCTGCTAAGGGACAGCTGGCGGAGCCATTAGCAGCCAGTGCCAGGATGCTGGGCGACTTCCTGCAGTACCAGCAAATCAACCCCCTTTCTAATCCAGCTCCCTCTCATCCAATGGCCATGTTGGCATATTGGGAAAAGTTGCTGAGTATCCGTCGGGACGATGCTGCCAAGGTGGAGAACAAGATGACGGCTACTAAACATAAACAAAAACACGTTGAACATTCACATTATTATGAAGTTATTATAGTGAAGTGTATGTATTCTCGATCCGGACCACTAGCAGAGTCGATATACATGGCCATGTCCGTCTGTCCGGACACGGATGAACCATGTTTCACTGCGTGCGTGTTCTTTTTGCTTAAAATTTGAACGAAAAATCACGACAGCCATTATTCAATTCCTGAAGATATAATTTTGGTTTGACTGCGTTTAAAATAAAAAAGAATGTATAATAAATAAGGTTATTCATTTTTATTTTCGTGTCAGGCTGTTGTTCCAAATAATATTCCATATTTACTGGAGTGCAACGTCAGATTCTCTAGCGATTAATCACCGACGATGGACAACGAATATAAGAATACTAAGTACCCAGCCAATACTACTTTTGCCCATTTCTAGTTTCCTAGTGTAAGCAGGCTATTAGTCTACGAATAACGGGTATAATTAAAATCGTTGTTCCTTATTACACCGATCCAGTGTCGTTGCTAAAGCCTAGTACTCACATCGACGAAAACCGCGAGCTAACCATAAGAGTGAGCGAGAGGCAAACAGGCGGCTGAAGCTTTTTGTCGCGTCTGTTTTTCCTGATACCTGATATCGCCAATGAATTTTCGATGAACGCCGTTAGCCGCGGTCCAAGGAATAAGAAATTTAATCTTTGGCGGTGTTCGTGCAGAAGCGGTGGGGAATTTAAAAATTAAAAATGCAAGAAAAACGGTTAAGGAGGTCAGTGCAGATGAAAAAAAAAAGCCTAATCCAAGCTGTTGCCCATTATTATGGGTCTTGACCGACAGGAAGCAAAACCACAACGGAGCAAATCCGCAGAATAGTTGAAGCTCTGGAGGAGATCCACTAGAGTATCCCAGTGAAAAGGAACGTGGGATATCGCTCGATCTCCGACAAGCTCTCCATTGAGGACTCCACCTCCACCAGTTACTTGACAGCTAAAGCGGAGATGGAGGACGCGCCGGCTTCTATAGGGAGGAGAAAGTAAGGTCGCCCGCTAAGGGACAGCTGGAGGAGCCATCACCAGCCATTATTGGCCAGCCTATTGGGACTCGGAGCTGGACTACAGATGACGCGGGAAAGATTGCGAAGCATTCGCGGAACGAGAAGGAAGCCTTAAACTTATAATTTAAACTAATAAAAACATTCGTTGAACACTTCATTTATTTTAATTTTAATTTCTTTGTGCACCAGCAGACTGTTTTTTAAATTGCTCCAGTTGCGAATAATTAAACATAATAGGAGAAATGTAACAGTTAACAATCGTATTCTTTGTAGTGTGACCGATGTTTTCAAAGTTCACCCGCAATGCATGTGGCATGGTCTTACTGTCAAGCAGCTGGGCGTGTTGCCAAACGGAAAAGAAATCAATTGGTGCAATTTAAAAAAGAAGAGTCAGCTTGTGCACAAAGAAATTAAAATAAAAATAAAAAATGTTCAGCGAATGTTTTTATTTATGTAAATTAGAAGGGCAATGCTTCCTTCTCGTCCCACGGATGCTTCGCCATCTTTCCCGCGCCATCTGTAGTCCAGCTTTAAGTCCCAATAGGCTGGCCAGTAATGTCTGGTAATGGCTCCTCCAGCTGTCCCTCAGCGAGCGACCTCATTTTCTCCTCCCTATAGAAGCCGGCGCGTCCTCCATCTTCGCTTTAGCTGTCAAGTAACTGGTGGAGGTGGAGTCCTCAATGGAGAGCGTATCGGATATCGAGCGATATCCCACGTTCCTTTTCACTGGGATTCTCTAGTGGATCTTCTTCAGCGCTTCAACTATTCTGCTGATTTGCTCCGTTGTGGTATTGCTTCCTGTCGGTCAAGTCCCATAATAATGGGTAACAGCTTGGATTAGGCGTCTTTTTTTCATCTGCACTGACCACCTTAACCGTTTTTCTTGCATTTTTAATTTTTAAATTCCCCACCGCTTCTGCACGAACACCACCTAAGATTAAATTTCTTATTCTTTGGACCGCGGCTTACGGCGTTCATCGAAAATTCACTCGCGAAATCCGGTATTTTTTCTGGTATTTCCTTAGCTCATCTGATGTGAGTACTAGGCTTTAGCGCGCTTTCGCCCTCATTTGAACCGTGATGGCCCTAAAAACATCGATAGTCCAAAAAAACATCGATGTTTAGAAAAAAAGGAAAAACTTAGATGGATCGATGTTTCCATCGATATTTCTTCACCTCCAATGATTTGGTTTGTTATAGAAAATAAATTTTCTTTTAACGATAATGTTCGTAACACCGGGCAAGCTAACTATGCTACATAAAGGACGTTTACCTATTGGATTTTTCCATGTTAAGAGGACAGGTAAATTAGACTTTCGATTAAAGGTTGCAAGTTTTAAGCCACTTGTATTGCTTTATATTAATTATTTTTATGTTTACCTACTCTACATAGACGTTCAACCATTTTGCTTCAGTGTCGCACTTGGAAATTTTATGGACTCTAACCGAATTTCTCTTCCAATTAATGTGGACACTGCTAAGACAACTCGATTCTCTTCCACTGTGACTCGGGCACATTCCTATATATCAAGCATTAATATCACCACCTACAACAGTTTCAATGCAGTGCTAGGCAGCTTAAGTTTTTGCAAAGATCCCCTTGTACAGTCCTATGATTTCTTTGGTTTGATCAGTTTAAGCTCGGCGATGCGAAGCAATGTGCCAATGCCGTTCAGAGGGTTAAACAAGTTTTCACATCTGAAAATGCCCGGCGGGCAGTGTTCGGAGGAATATAAATTTATAGCACAAAACTTGGAATTCTCGCACAATAGTGGCCTTCGCAATTGTTTACAAGCGGATAGGGCGACCTATCAGAACGCCTTTCTCGATAGTAATGGCAAAGGTGAGAAGTACATTAATTTAATTTTAACTTTGCTTAGACTAATTACAAAAGGAAAGCACACAAGAAACCAAGAGAAAACGCTACAGATGATGACCTCGATTATAAGATACCCGTTACTCAGCTTAAGGGAGTGCGAGAGGATGGAATATATGCTTAAAGCAGCTCTTCTTTTTTCACTAACACCTAGCCCATAGTGCCACCTACATACATTTTTTAGCGGCACCTAGCCTTTGGCACCTACCGTCTTGGTGGTGTATTAATGAAAACTTTATATCTCAAATAAATTTAACGAGCTGATTGTAATGTTCGAAGCTTTTAAAATTAACTTCTTCATACACTGGTAGAAAAAACGCGAAGTGAAATCAAATATATTTTTATTTGATTTTTTTTACTCCCATGCCTAGTCTTATTAAATATTAAAACCTTTCATTTAAATAAAAAACATATTTAAGCCGTATGTCAAATATGTAAGTATTCAATTCAAAGTGATTTTTATTTAAAAACAAGTTAGTCACATTCAAATCCAATGTGGCCATCTTGGTTTTAACTATTATTCATAGTATATTTGATGGTTTTTTATATTTCGAGTAAATACTTTTTCAATTTGTTCGAAATATTTACTCTTTTACTTTGAAACGTTTTCAAAATTTGTATTTGACCAAATAATTGTAAATTATAAATCAAATTATATATGTATGTACATATGTATGTATATACACGACATAATTTAAATTATTAATAATTTGCAAAAGAAAAACAGCTTAAATATTTAAAGAAAAGGATTTTAGTTACGGCTGCCCAACCACCGGCAGCCTCTTTCTATTTCCATGACAAATATCATAAGTTTTGGCTTTGTAATTTACTATTAAAAGTACAAAAACATGCTTAGCCAAAGAAAAAAGGTGCGTGTATTGTAAACGCTGGGCCGTAAAACCAACGGCACAATGTGCATACTTACATACATTCAGACAAATTAGAGATAAATATGAACAAGCAAAACGGCAAACGCAAGCGCGTCTTCTTTTTCCATTCGCATTTGTACATTGGTGGTCAAGAAAATATGTATGTGCATAAGAACATTAATATTTCTTGTGTATCGATGTTTTGACAATAAGATATGGTCATATAATATATAAATATTATAAAATAAAATAAATATTACTAAATTGACGTATACAAGTTATTAAACTTAAGGACTTATTTGTACATATTTTGTAATTTTCTTCCCCATTACTTTGACCTCTATTGTAAAGTAACGGCACGCGACAGAATTTGTCCGTCCTTTTTGCACACATGCATATGTATGTATGTATATACGAAATATTTTGACACTCCGCTTTGTAGCGAATCCCGCGATCACTTCGAAGCAAGCGGTTCTCCTGATCGGATGAAAAAGTGATTAATAGAGTTTTAGTTTTTAGAGAGAGAGAGAGTTTAAGAGACAAGTGTTCAAATAAGTGAAGTAAAAAAGTGAAAAGTACATCAAAAAGGTGAGTCAAATAAAAATACAATAATTACTTAATATTAAGGCATGTGCATGTCCATGTTTTTTTTGTCGCATTTTTCCTTGAGTTTCTTCTTTGTTGTGCGCGTTATTATTTCGTGATAATTTAGATAATACATTTGAAGAAATTAAAGCTTAAAAGAGCATTACATTTAAAACAAAAAAAGACATACGGTTGTGTAATAAACATGAAGTGGATAAAAAATACGCGAAAGAAATGAAGAATACGAAAGGAAATTAAGAGAAAGCCCGCGCAAACTAGATCAAAGGAGTAGAATGCACGAGAAGAAAAACACTAAAAAGCCGCAAAAAAGACGCTTTGCTGGCGTTGCATTCTGCTCTGTGGCGTCGCAGTCGTTTCACCTAAATCTTTATTATATTTTTTTGTTCTTTTACGTGATTTTTCTCTTTGAGTTAATTTACTGATCCAACATTCTTTTAAGAGCGAATTCGGTTTATATTCGGAATTCACAAAAAATAATTTTTCGCATTTTCGATTTTATTAAAAGTTTTTTTTGCGAATACTTCGATAAGTGGTAAACACGTGTTTCAGGAATTGGCCGATATTACACTTATCTAATTTTTAATTTTTTTTAAATAAAAACAAATTAAATTAAAAAAATATTTTGGTCTTATTTAAATCCTTATGTATAAAACAACCTACTCGAAACTTAATATAAAACTACTTAACTTTTTCTGTATAGATATAAATTGATTTCAACATATTGTACCCTGAGAAAGAAGCAAGGAAAAGGTTTTTTATGAAGAGCAAATACAAAACAAAGAGTGTCATAAACTATCAAAGACAGCTCAAAAAACTGTATCAATCGGTAATATATAATTTTAATAAATTTAAACTAAACTTTTTGCAGGTTAAATTTTATCTTCTTATAATACGCTTGACTTTTTCTAAATTACCAAAAATCTAATAACATATTCTTATTCACAGATTCCAAGGACTACATTTACTCTATATTGTCTGCCGTCATTAAGGAAACCAACAAGCGAAAGAATTTCTCACTACTGGACTCGGAAAGTTTTGAACGCACATGCAGGCGTACGAGTGTTGCAAACTTTACTAGCTGCCCTATGCATATGTATTATATAAATTCTAAGAGTTACGTTAAGTACAAATGTATTTAAAACAAAAATAATGATAACGTGTTAGCATGGTAAAAAAAAATAATGTAAGCAGAACAATTGTTTGGATGATATGTTTAAGTTTATTTTAAATAAAAACACATTGCATACTTATTTGTGGCATTTTTAAATATAAATCACGCTTGTTTTAAACTACGGATCGGTTTAAATTGAATATGCACCATAATAGTATGGCTTAAATACTATTTTTAAATCAAAAATAAAGTATAGTTCTTTTAACTGGGATTATATTTAATTTAAATAAAATTTGTATTTTTTATTAAAGTTCATCCCAGTCTGCTTTAAATATGAGAATTATTTAATCCAAATAAAAATATGCTGAGCTTTAAGGCGGGCTATTATTATTTTAACTATAAAAACCATTCAAATGAAATATTCTATTTACTGGAACTAAATATGAAAATACTTAAAAGAAACATAAAAATATAATACTTTTTACTATGGAACATACAAGGGTGGTCAAAAGTATTTTCACAAAAAAAAAGTTAAATATATTCATAATTTGAACTTACATCTTGTTAACTTGGTCATCAATGGAAAGGTAATTTAAATGCCGTTTGAATGATACAATACATTTCTTAACACATTCAGTACTTATTGAAAAGGACGAATTTGTGTGAAAATGTCCTTTTTGAACTTTTTTCCTCGACTTGAAAACTTAAATTTTTTGATGCAAAAAGTTTCTTCAAACAAAAATAATAGTAACTGCAAAAAGAATTTTTCAAAAATCATTTTGCTTATATTTTTTATGATTTTTTGAAAATGCTTAGAAACATGCATTTTAGGCACATTTTTCTCTTTTTCATACAAATTTTTTCCGACAGTGTCACCTTTAAAAAACCATAAAAAATATAAGCAAAATGATTTTTGAAAAATTCTTTTTGCAGTTACTATTATTTTTGTTTGAAGAAACTTTTTGCATCAAAAAATTTAAGTTTTCAAGTCGAGGAAAAAAGTTCAAAAAGGACATTTTCACACAAATTCGTCCTTTTCAATAAGTACTGAATGAGTTAAGAAATGTATTGTATCATTCAAACGGCATTTAAATTACCTTTCCATTGATGCCAAAGTTAACAAGATGTAAGTTCAAATTATGAATATATTTAACTTTTTTTTTGTGAAAATACTTTTGACCACCCTTGTATTTAATTTAATCATTTTGTACTATTTTAACATATTTGATCGAAATTAAAAAATCGTTGGACTTACTACGAAATTATTTAAAAAATATTTAACTATTTAACGTTTTCGTTTTTACGATTTTCATGTTAGGATCTAAACCGCTGGGAAAAATAGTTAAAACGTTGGCGAAAAAGTGACATTTACGATGTTTTTTCTACCAGTGTAGGTAAAAAATTGTCGGCATTTAATTTTTGCTGTAAAACCAGACATTCATTACAATTTTAAAAAATCAAAGCGTGTAATATATTTAAAATATTTTGGTGCTTAGCAAAGCCATCTTCAAAAAGCCTTTTAGTTTAATTTCTGATTGTTGGTGTTTGTTTATAAGAATCAGATTTATTATACCCGTTACTCGTAGAGTAAAAGGGTATACTAGATTCGTCGGAAAGTATGTAACAGGCAGAAGGAAGCGTTTCCGACCCCATAAAGTATATATATTCTTGATCAGGATCACTAGCCGAGTCGATCTAGCCATGTCCGTCCGGATGAACGCTGAGATCTCGGAAACTATGGGAGCTAGGCTATTGAGATTTGGCGTGCAGATTCCTGAGCTTCTTACGCAGCGCAAGTTTGTTTAAGCAATGTGCCACGCCCACTCTTACGCCCACAAACCGCCCAAAACTGTGGCTCCTACAGTTTTGATGCTAGAATAAAAATTTTAACATATGTGTATTCTTCTCATCAATAACTATCGAGTGACCCGAAAAAAAATTGCCACGCCCACTCTAACGCCCACAAACCGCCCAAACCTGTGACGGCCACAGTTTTCATGCTAGATACAAAATTTTAACTGAAATGTATTGGTCTCGTCAATACCTATCGATTGATCCAAAAAAAAATTTTGCCACGCCCACTCTAACGCCCATAACGCTTAAATCTGTCTACCGCCGGTAGGTGGCGTATTTAAATCTCGATTTGCTGCTTGCATAGCAAAGTAACGGGTATCTGATAGTCGAGGTACTCGGCTATAGCGTTCTTCCTTGTTTTTTGATTGCAACGGTCTAATAATAATTACTTTTGTTGTATGTTACAGCAAGGAGCTGAAAAAATCAAGCTTAATGCATAAAAATAGTTTTTATACTTGATCTGATTTTTACTGCAGCGACCAAAAAATAACGCTGCTCCTTATATGTATATTCAGACAAACTATGTA